AATTGAGTAAATTTATGTTGGAATAGTAGTGGTTAACGCGGCAACCTAAAGGGAGATTTAAAAGTATATGTAAAAATCAATTTTGACAGCTGCTTAAGATAAGTTTCTGGGCTATTTCCCCAAAGGATGTTGCGATATGTCAAATATAGATATACGGGCGTATAATAGAGATCTATTAAATGGTTGAAGTTGATTTTTGATTTAATTTTATAGAGTTTTTGAGCTATGGGATTGATGTGTGGTTCCCAAGAGAGATTGTCTTTGGTCTTTGTGCCTAAAAAGTTTGTTGATTTGGAACGCGGGATTGAATACCCGTTGATGCTGATGTTGAGGCCCGGTACTAAATTCGTTACTATTGTTGGTCCAAACAGATTATAGCAACATTTTTTATAATTAATTATTAATTTGTTAAGAGCAAACCAATCAGCAATTGTTTCTAAAGTTTTATTTATTGTCTGTTTGTACATCATCTTCTGTTGGATTCTTATTGGAAAAAAGTATGTTGGTGTCGTCTGCGTACAAAGTGAACTCCGCTGTTGTGGAAATATTGCAGGGGTCGTTGATGAAGATCGTGAACAGAAGTGGTCCGAGTATGGAACCTTGAGGAACTCCGTTGTTTAAGCTGCGGAGTTCGGATTTTTGATTACTTATTGCCACAAACTGAGATCTATTCAAATAAATAAAGTTACCCAGTTTACCAAGCAGCATTTATTATTTATAATTTAAAGTTTCAATATTTTTCTGTTAACAAAAATCAATCAAAAATAATCACTTAGAATAATAAAGGAAATAAAAAAATGTTTAAAAAACAAAAAACTTTACTAATTTTTCCGGAGCGAAACAGGATGAAAAAATTTATCCGACCAGACCTGGAATGAAACTGATGCATGAGATGCATTCAGGGATACATTGGATACATAGGAATTCATGGGATACATGGGATATATTCAGCGATTCACTCCTGTCATTCATCATTTCCAGACATATTAGCCAACAAGCTCTCTTGTACGTATGATACGCTGAGTGATAATTCGTATTCGTCAAATTAATACGCAACATAAATATAGAATTTTTTTATCCATGTTGTTTTTTCATGGAACACAGGAAAAGGAAATAAATGCGAAAACTTGTAAAAAAAATAGTTGATTGGTTTGTGTCGAGGAATAAATTTATTTTATTCTTTTTTTATGGATTGATGAATGAGTCGCATGACCTAATGCATTAGAAAGTTCTGAAAATATATTGAGATGGCGATTCAACTGATTGATTGATTGATAGTCTGATTGAACGGTTGATGCAATGGACTAACGGTGAACGTGAACCTATGATTAAACTGATGATTTGATTGATCAGTTGCATGTAAGTGTTGTTAATCACCTGGATGCTACAGAAGTTCATTGCAGAATTAATGGAAAAAAAATATTAAAAATTTTCAAATAATAAAAAACCAAGTGATTTTATTTATCAAACGAGTGTGCACTTGAAATCATCCTTACATTGCATAAATTTGAATATAAAACATTTGAAAGAATAAAAAAATTTGCAAACATTTCTCAAGGAAAATGTTTTTGAAAATAATTGAAAATAAAATTAAGTAAAACAAATTGAAAGTCTGAAATTTGTTCAAATTGAAGAAAAAAAATAGAAACTCAAAAAAGCCTGAGCTGAGGATAAAAATAAGAGATTGAATTAACCATCTTGACAAGTTGCATTCACTACTAGTTGCATTTAAACTATTCTTCTAAATTATTTTTCTAAAGTATTTGTAAATTTCTATTTTAAAATATTTTAAAACTATTTTTTAAAAAACTTTTTTCAATTTATCTAGAAAATTAGTCTGATAATTTTATTTGGTGCCAACCTTCATTATTTGTGATTTTGTTAGCTGACTCCAAGTTTTATTTTAATTTGTCTATTTCTTGAAGTTTCTTTTTCTAAAATGCATTCGCGGTGAATTCTATAATTATCTTCCATCTCATTTCATTCACATTTTTATATATTTTTTCATTTATTCGTTCATTTGTTCATTCGTTTATTCATTCATTCGTTGCCATATTAGTTAATCCATTGATAGATTGATATACACATTTATTCTTTTATTTATTCATTTATTTATTTCTTCACTCATTCACTTTGATCACTACCATTCCTTTAAAACGTTTTTTCATTATATTAATTCTTTAAAATATAAGCCAAGCAGATAGCACAGGCACGAAACCACGCATGACTCATTTCATGGGATGAGATTTGGATTATGTTAAAATTTATTTTTGTAATAAATGAATATGCAAATAATTTGGTGCGAGCAAATAACTTTTATAATGTCTCATCTTTTATTTTTATCATTTCAACACTTCAGTTTCTTCACGAGGCATTTCAATTTATACGCCAATAAACATTTTTCCGCATGCATTCCTTCATCCAATTGCTTCCAATTTGTATCCATCACAGCCATATCCATTTGTCACCGCATCAATCAACATTGATTATTTTAATCCAATTATCCATCCATTAATCAACTTGCGCACGTGTGTGATGTGTGCTGGTCTCAGTGTTGGCCATTTCCATTTTTACACAGACAACGCAAACACTCACAAACACACACGTACATATACTAGACACGCACGTACGCATTCACAACGCTGTACGGTTGTAATGTATGTTGTAACATTTATAATTCCTTTCCGTTCAAACATTATTCATCTTTGTGTAGCTTCTGTGTCGGTTAGTTCGTTCGTTCGTTTGTGGAGTTGTGGCTGTTATGGTTGTTGTGGTTATTGTGGCTGTTGTTGTAGCTGTTGAGGTTGTTGTGGCTGTTGTGGCTATTGTAGCTGTTGTGGCGCTCATTGTAGCTGTCATTTTTTATAATTTTGCTACATATTTGTTCTTTGGTTAGTTCGTTGTTTTATGAAGTGTTTCCTATTTTTGATGCGTGAATTTTTTTTCTAGTTAATTTTTCTCATGAATCTGATAATTTTTTTTCGTTTGAATCATATTAATTGTTTTTTTGGGGTTCATGACAGCTGAAATGTATTTCGCTGTTGTTGGTGTTGTTGTTGATGATGTCATTTTTGGCTTTAATTAATGATGTTGTATCTTTGTCACCGCCTTTCCATTAAACTGATGCAATGAATATAATTCCTGTTACTGTAATGTTAGTGTAATGATAATAGTTTATGATAATTTAATTTTAATGTAATAAAAATAATTTACTTAATGTAATGTTAACGACATAATGATGTCATTTATGATAATGTATTTAAAATCGTTGTTAGAGATCGCGGTCAACAACGAATAACATTCGTAAAGTCCTTGAGTCACTTGTTGAATATCAAAACCACATTTCAACTACTACAAAGTGTTAAAGATCGGGTTTTGTGGAGGTCGATGGTCGCCAATGTCCTGAAAGGATAGGGCACAAGAAAGAAAGAAGAAAAATGTTGATTGTGTTGTTCACATTTTTTTCTTTAAATATTTCTTTCAAGACATTTTGAAAAATGGTTGAAATTATTGTTAAACTGCTACTGATATTTTTGTTTATGTTGATAGTTAATAATTTTTTTTATTATTTTTAATTTATTGTTTGTTGATGTTGTTTAATGTTAGTAATCCATATTAATTTGAAATAAATTTCTAATAAACTTAGACCAATAAAACTTATAAATGGTGAAACATGTTGTTGATACAAGAAATTAATTAATATTAATATTTCAATATATATATTGCATGCAATTATTCTTATTGCAAAAACTACACGAAATATTAATAAAAATAATGATAATAATAAATAATAATAATAATAGTAATAATAATAATGATAATAAAGAGAAATAACAAAAAAAATAATAAAATTAATGAAATTACTTTTATATCTCCGGCAAAAATGCCGTCGCATAACTTAAAAATTTTTATTTATCGTGCAGCTAAATGTGTGCATTACATGTGATACAAATTTTTTGGTTGCTGGTTTGTATGGTGATTTTTGGTGGTGTTGTTGTTGTTGTTGATAGTGTTTTTTGAGTTGTTGATAGTGTTGTTGTTGTTAATGATGATGTTGTTGATGACAATGGTGTTGTTGGTAATGTTTTTGTGGTTCTTGTTGTTGATGTTTTTGTGGTTTTTGATGTTGTTGTTCTTGTTGTTGTAGATGATGATAGTGTTGTTGTTGTTTGTTGGTGGTGATGTTGGTGATTTCATAAATATTTTATATTGTTTTATGCTTGCCAATTTGTTGTTACATGTTTCTGGTAGTTTCTTTCGTTCTTATTGTTCTTATTTTTTTGTTATTATTGTTATTTTGCAACTATTGTTATTTTATTGTTGTTATTATTNTGTTGCAATGTTTACGAGAATCTGGAATGGTTCCTTGTTATGGTTGCACTTGAAATTCTAAAGAAAGATTTTCGGTTTAATTTAAATGTTCGCCTTTGTTCGTTTATGTGTTTGTTCATCTTTTGTCATTTGTTGGCGTTCGTTTGTGTTTGTGTGGTTTGTATTGTTGTGTTTTTATCAATTGTTTATGTGCTGTTGCTGTTGTTGTTGTTGCTGCTGACGTTGTTGGTCTTAAAATATTTTCATCAATTGTTGTAATTTTTTTCATAAGAAGGCATTTTCAATAGTTTATAGTTACAATACCACATATAATACGCAGTACCTACCGAAATATACCCTCTATAATAGCGTTAATAGTATTTATTTTCTAACCGTCCATCCCCCCGTTGTGGTTGTATCGATGTAGGTAGAAGGTATCTGGCACACCTAACTAATGCTGTCTCGTTGTTTTCGAAGGCTGTATTGTGTAGATGATAATTTGGGTTAGGAGGTATAAGTAAATATAGGTTGTATAGAGATATATGTTAAAGTAAGTAAGCAATTTTAATGATAGTTAAGTTATAAAAATAGTTCAAGACAATACAGCAAATATACAGATATAAAGCAGCTCAATATAAGATAATATAACGTATAATTAATCAGAGCATATAATACTTTGTTTATTAAGAATGGATACAATTGGGATTGGCTGGGTTAGAAGGAGTAAGACAACTAGTTAAGCTTTAGAGAGCAAGGTCTCTTGGTATATAGAAGGTGAGCACATAAGTTAGTTAAGTTGAGATTAATCTTAGTTATCTCTTAATCACTTTTAAGACTCAACACACTCTTACACATTTGAACACTTCCTTTGATAACCTTTACATTATTTTTATTATCGTTATCCGATTTCACAATTTAAGTTTGGTTATAACGTTAAATATTTTTAACAATAATGCGTGAGTTGTTTCTCGTTCGATTTCGATCATTAAACTTTATAATGTTTTAAAACACTAACTAATTCTCAACACACGTAAGTCGCCAATTAGTCATTTTTCCTTATTTAATGTTCATGAACAGTATCGAGTTATTTAACTTTGAGCAAGAGAGTTTACAGATACAGAAAGAATTTCCACAAAAACAAACTGAGTAGTTCGGTGACCGTCGTAGAATGTAGAATTAAAATTTATTTTATTCAATTTTATTGTATTCAAGTTAATTTTATTTCATTTTAATTTATTTTGTAATGTTAAATTTTATTACGTTTAATCTAAATTAATTTTATTTTATTTTAAAGTGATATTTTATGAGAGTGATGGTGTCTTACTATTACAGTTAGATGATTTTTTATGGAAATTCTAACTTTTGATTTGATGAAATGACAGGATTGACACAGCAGTGCGTTCATCATTATTTTCCTCATTAGCACAATTTGAAAGTTTTATCTTCAGTTTTATCAACATAGTCACAAACTTATCATTGTCATGAAGTCATTTGTGAAAAGATTTTCTTAAAGTAAATCAAAATAATTATTATCAACCGACAGATAAAAAAAAGAAGAAAAAACTCGATCCAACAGCCAACAAATGAATGTTAATAAAAAACAATAAGCAAGTTTCACTCGTGTAACAACCACGAGATAAATTTCATCACTATG